TTGCTTTGTTATGTAAAACATGGATTGGATGAAAATGCCACTAATAAAAAGGGAAAAAAATCAAATTGAAAACAAACATTTTTTTTTTAAATATATTTGTGGACCTGTTTTAATTAGCACCCTTCAACCTCCTGCAACGGACCTCAAGAAACATAAAGATTACTTTGGGACCATCCAAGAATTCAAATAAGTGGGGTGTCATCCACGCGCGAGATTTTTTTTTTTTACAGTAATTTGGACGTACCCCATAGTTAATTGGGGGCGCTCGGAATAAACGAATGAACACATGTCATATTTGAACGATGTCTTAAGTGAAAAAGCAAAATGTTATGGTTAATCGTTAATGGTGAGCCATTTTATTTTGATTGAGTATCCAAATTTTCAAGATGGTTTTGATAATGAGGTCTTAAAACGGCGTGTGTTTGTGTGGGAAAGGGGGACGCGGGGGGGGGGGGATCTTTCTTGGAAAGGGCCAAAGAAATGTCCAATGATCAGAACTGCAGAATATGTCGATTAAGCAGTTAAATTATTGGAAAGATTGAAACATATTGGCGATTATGGTGGGGAAAGGGGGACGGGGGGGGGGGGGGATCTTTCTTGGAAAGGGCCAAAGAAATGTCCAATGATCAGAACTGCAGAATATGTCGATTAAGCAGTTAAATTATTTGAAAGATTGAAACATATTGGCGATTGCTGTGTAAAGCTAATATGAAAATGGCCAGTGGAGATTTTTTACACGTACCAGCTCCTGAAGGTCTATTGCTGTGAGAATTTAACGGTGCCAGTTATCGACGGTGACATTAGCGAGAGACCCCGCGCAGGAATATCAAACGCAACTATAGGCAAAGGCTTCGACTAAATACCTCATGAGAGATGATGAGAAACGGAACAATTCCGTTCTGTCGGAGATCGTGTTCATGTTTATTGATGTGGAACGACGATCACCTTCTGCCTGTTCTGTTTGTTCAGATAACTTGCTCAAACAAACTCCGCATGGAAATATCACGCATTGCCACCGCAAATTAACTTTATTATTATTATTATTATGTCAGTTTAAAATAAGATTTCAAACGCTGCTTAAGATCTTATAAAATATATGTCGATCTGACCATATCGTGTGGAAGAATTGGGAATGCATTGTAAACAAAAATCGATCGACTGTTTAACAGAATCCTAAAACCTGATCACCGCCCGGGCTCAATACACAAAGATGTCGACCTCTTTAATCGCCAAGCACAAATTCTGGCTTGAGGACGCATGAAGGTTTTCACAGAACATTAAGGCTTGTCGAAAAGACTCCTGTGCGGTTTTAAGGAAAATAGCTCCTGCCAAGAAACCCCACAGCATCGGAAAACAATTGATATTACCTTGCTGAAAAGATATCATATCGAATACTGTTATGAGGCGAATAGTGGCCGTGTCTTATGACATACTGTCGCAGCTTTGCGTTTATATACGATATGTATAGGACAAGCAACTGGACGATGATGTTTTTTTTTTCAAAAAAACTCTCTGTATCAGAACAACTGCAAAATAAATACAAAATAAAGTGGACAGATTCTTTGAGGCGCGGGGTATCAAATGGGAATGTGCCGTGTGCTCTGACTGCGCTCCCTGCATGAATGCCGTTCTGTTTTCGTGTGCTATGCTCATGTGTCAACGTTGGCAAAAGGGGCAGTTTACGAATGTGATATTTTTTTACCCAGGGTTTTTTACCCAGTGCTAAAGCGTCTTCCCCCCAGAGTGGCTTAGCGAAAACGTCACGGCCACAGCAGAACAACCCCCTCGACAGTCACATTTGAACTCTGTGTACATGTGTCGTGATGGGTGCAAGAGGTGAAAGGTGACAAGATTGGGGAGTCCCTTCAAAGCTATACCGAGTAGAGCATGTGCTGTGTGGTATTTCTGTGCAATGCTGTGTATTGGCGTCTCCTGTGTCTTGATGAATATTAGCCTATTTTTTTTATATTGGAGGCATGGGAGCTTTTGTTACCACTCCCAAGAGCTTTCCCCACAAGCATAGCGGTCCATGGGGTTTTTTCAAGACCCACCCCCCCCATAGTTACTTCCGAGTCTAGTTCTATATACGACAGGTTTGAAGTGACTTTTTTTTCCGCGGAAAAATTCCTCCAGCTTTGAGCCGGTACTTAACATCAACCCTCTGCCTAAAGAAACAGTCAGCGATTTCACTGCATACTACTAAACGGCACAGCAAAGCACTATAAATTTATGAGGTTGGGATATCATGGTGTTCTGGGCAACACCTTCTTTAACGCAACCTTTCGGTTATCCGGAAAAAATAGGTTATCCAACACCCCTACCCCCCCCCCCACACACCACTCGTCCCGATGAGTTCGAGTAATCAACCGTCTACTGTATGTTGTTGTTTTTTCAATAACTTCTATTTCAAGCAGGTGAGGTCTTATCTATCCTAGGTCTTATCTCTCCTGAAGACCTTTCCATTCTTCCACGCCGGCACAACCTTCACGGTATAAGAGTGTTTTAATATCATTTTTTGGTAGGATCCAGTCGTTAAATTTTTATTAGCTTATAGCGCAATGCTCATCAACCTTACCAGCGTTGTATTTGAACGACGACCAGACAGCAAGTATCATTTTACCACAGATCATATATTTTCAATCATGATCGCATGGCTAGAAAATAAAAATAAAATACGCTTTTGTTCCACTAGATCAGCGGTTCTCAACCTGTGGGTCGCGATAGCTTTGGAAGAGGGGGGGGGGGGGGGGGGGGGGGGGGGGGGCGGTGGGGTGGGGGGGGGGGGGGGGGGGGGGGTCGAACCACCCTTTCCCAGGGATCGCGTAAGACCAACGGAAAAACACATATACTCTACAGTTTTGAAGTGGTAACGAAAGTAATGTTTGTGGTTGGAGGATCGCCACAACACGAGAAACTGTATTAAAAGGACGCGTCATTTGGGAAGGTTGAGAGCCGCTGAACTAGATCTTCACGATATGTGATGAAATGTAAGCTCGTCATATGATGTCATTATTTGAGATTACAATAGAAACTCATATCACATTTTTTTTGTAGTCGGGGGGCAAAGCGCGGGGGGTGGGGTGGGGTAGGGGTACTCGCGTTGTCCCCATTTCAAACAGACACAAACCCATACACAGACGCACCAACAAACACACAGACTTTTTTTATTAAAGATAAGGGACCTTACTTGTTACATATATTCACTGAAGTATGTCCCCTACAGGAGTACCAGTTGATATTAAATCAAACTTGAAATCTCATTAAACCCATATGCTGGGATTGGCGGCCACAAGGGAAGAATTAATTCACTTCAGATCTCCTATGGTACGCTCTCTGAGTAAGGTTTGTGAGGTTTCATGAGACACAGGGCCGTTTCTGCCATTACGCAAGATGAGAAGGGAAAAAAAGAGGGGGTGGGGGAGGGGGGCAGGGCACTAAAAAAAAGTTAATTAGAAATCAAACAGTGAAAATTTTGAGAAAATTAGGAGACGAAAATGAAATAAAGGTTTTTGCGTGAATTCTTTTTCTTCTATATCTTAAGGGCCCACGATCAATGTATTGATCATTTTGGCTCCTATGCATGTAGATGGGATTTGCAATGTTTCTATTACTGGTGTTGATTAGGAAATCATGCACTAGGGGTTTGAAGGCTTGAGGCAATAGACACAAATGTGTCTAGTGTTGTCGCCTCAACCATTCCTTTTCTAGTCTGCATGAAAAGGGGTGGGAGGGAGAAGGGGGTGTGGCTGACGGTACTATAATGGTGGGGGCGGCATTTTTGAATTCTCGCTGAGGGCGGCGAAACAAGGTCAAAACACCTAGAAAAAGTCCCCGATGAGACGGTGCGTTACACTGACATAGTGAGGTGTAATGAGATGTAGTGAGATTCGGTGAGGTGTAATGAGATGTAGTGAGATTCGGTGAGGTGTAATGAGATGTAGTGAGATTCGGTGAGGTGTAATGAGATGTAGTGAGATTCGGTGAGGTGTAATAAGATGTAGTTAGATTCGGTGAGGTGTAATGAGATGTAGTGAGATTCGGTGAGGTGCAATGAGATGTAGTGAGATTCGGTGAGGTGTAATGAGATGTAGTGAGATTCGGTGAGGTGTAATGAGATGTAGTGAGATTCGGTGAGGTGAGGCCGTTAACCTATCCCTGGTGTTGCGCCTTGTTCAGCCTCGGCTTGGACACCTGTCTTCGTTTTATTTTTCCGAATATTGCTAGACGTTTCTTAAAAGTATATTTAGTGCATCGGCTCTACCGTTCAAAATAGTTTGACACTTCTTCAAGCTATATATATATTTATTTATTTATTTATTTATATATTCATTTGTACAACAGCTCTGACACTTGGCGACTCAGGAGATTGGTGACCGTTACTTTTCATAAAAATAAACCAGCCTCATTAAGATATTAATAACACATCCGGGTATTCCGTTTGGCCAACGTCTCCACAGCTGCTCGGTACTTCTACGTTAATGTGGACCTTAACCTCAAAGAAAACGTGTTTACAAGTTTATTTTAACGAAAGATGTTACAAACAAATTGTTACTGCTGTACCTACATGGGGAAATACAGTGTTAGAATTTATATTTCCACACAGTCATTGTCTAAAAATAGTAACAATACGCAATGCGATGTGACGTTTTTGTTTTTTTTTCCATTCTTAGAAATAAGTCATTCTGACAGCCTTTTGACCATGTCCAGAATTTACGTCAATTTTTTTTTTCTTGGGGGGGGGGAATAAACCGGCAACAAAAAATGGGCACTTGTTCCTTGTTCGTACTGCCTAAGTCTGGCTACTGAGCAAACACATATGTCATTGCAAGAACTAACATCTCTATTTATAGTTTCTTGAACACCCCAACAACTTTAGTGGGTTGGGGGGGGGGGGCTGTACAGCCTGTTCAAACGGTGTGACTTAGTTTTGTCTTGCGGCATTACGCTGTTGCCCTTCCCTCCTTGTCGAGGACACAAAACGCTATCAGATAGATCGATATCAAAGTCAATCGCTTTCGGTTCCAGGTTTTGATTCCGCTTCAAAGCTCCAATATCCTGGATGACGTCAAACAAAACGTTGAAGTATTTAAAGATAAAAAAAATATCATAGAGACCAATCTCAGTTGTGTGTGGACTCGGTGTGGCAAGTTGAACCGCTTTGAAACTTATACATTCAATTGTAAAGGACACTCGATATCACGAAGAAGTTTTTAAATTGTTCTCGTGAAACACGTTAAATACATCAAAGTCTTGTATTCAAGTTTGTTTGTTTTTTCGTCAAGGTATGTTAATTTCAGGTTGTATCTTTTATTATAATAGATTTTAGAATTACAAAAAAAAATATTATTTTTTTTTAAAAAAACAAGAGAAATTTTAATATGTGTTGAAATTTTTGAATGGTTTGGGATATTTTTTTTTTTTAAACGCGTGGAGAGTTTAAAAAGCAGGGGGAAACTATATTTTAAAGAAACTGAGAACATAATTGGTGGGTGAAGGTGAGAAATTTTCTATTTATCAACAGTAAGTAACTGGTACGAGAGTTCGTAACATTCGTAATAATTTAATTCATACAGAGGTTACGTAAAGATAAATGTAAAATTAGTAGATATGGAAGGGGAGCTGGTTCCAGAACGTGGACGCATGGAAGGAGAAGGAGCGTTCACCGATGGTCTTAGTTTTGGTTCTTGGGATTGAGAGGGTTCTATTGTCAATGGAAGAGCGTAGGTGTCTTGTTATGAAGTAGCAACGAAAATAGTTTTGTGGTAAGGGGTCACCACAACATGAGGAACTGTGTTAAAGGGTCCTGGCATTAGGAAGGTTGAGAACCACTGTAGTTCTTGATAGAAAGCCCCCTTTCATAGCTACAATTTAGCATTAAAACTTTAATTTGTATATTATTGCCAAAAGTAGTATTATTATCTTTTTATTTTATTTTATTTGTTTTTTTAATCTTGAGGATCCTATAACAGCAACTATAATTTCACAATACGTCGTCAAACATAAATTCTACACAACGCTGACTCTATTAAAATACTTCCGTAAAACTGACCTACTAAAACTATGAAAACTTAAAATTTAATAAAAATGTATTATCATCAGCAGCGAGTCTATGTGCCAAGTTTAAGTTTCATAGAATGGCGGGAAATGGGTCAATTAGCCGTCCGAAGATTTTGCCTTAAACACAAGAAAAAAATAGAAGTTGATGTAAAGGATTTTAAAAATGGGAAAGTTTAAGCAATAAATACCATTGGGGAAGTCTTGTCATGAAAAAATTCAAGGGGTTAATTTGGACAATTTTACGGAAATTGTATTTTAAGAATATTTTAACGCGTTGATTACATTATATATATATATATATCTATTTATATCCTCTTCTAATTTAACAGTTATGTCTAAACTATTTCAGCACAACAGGAGTGTGGTCTCTTCTTATTTGAAGTTTTACGCCGCCCATGGTACTCCAACAACGAAATGGACAGAGTGGTGAAAAGAACGATGAAGGACTCGCTTGCATCGAAATTACGTAAAAATTTGCCGTACATTGAAGAACACGTTGAGGCCAAAGAACTTCTCTCGTATTTGTTCGCCAACAGTGTAAATATCGGTTGTTGTTGTTGTTGTTATCGTTGGAGTGGTTGTGTATTGCAACTGTATTCAATTAAAGACCTTGTGGTCATATTGTAAATATAATTGCACCGCTTCCAGGCTCCAAGAATTTCACGGCCGCTTTCTTAATTCCAGAAAGTTTCGAGCGCGGCTTTAGTGCCGCCTCATACTAGTGTGCCGCAAACGTTCACGGGTATTTTTGTCAGATTTTCATATGATATGATGGCGTGTTGCATTCTTTTGAAAACAGTTTAAGCCTATCACAAGATGATAAAGGTTTTAAACACTATTGGCATATGTTGCCAGTCCTGCCTGGTAACAAACACGTTTATGATGATGACATCGTGTGAACCTAAAAGCCTTGCGTGTAACTAGTTATCTTTTAATTCAATCAGATTATTGACGTGGACGACAGAGAGTCCGTCTCGAGGGCCGGGACCAGGAAAGAGAGAGCCTGCTCTCTTGTGACGCTTCTCATGCACCGCGGCGACAGGGCGTACGCGTGCTTCCTGGAGGCGTTGAGGAACGCCCGCTACACCTTCGTCGCCAACAAGATATCCGGACTTCCGTACCAGACGAGTGAAGACAGTGACGCTGGAGCTGGGGCTGCTCATGTGGATCTGGGTAACTGGAAATGACGTGTGATGTTCTTAATTTACTCAATTCAGTTAATGTTTCTGCACTTCCGAAATACATTTAGTAGTGACCTTGATTTAGATAATATGTCCGCTTTCAAACTTGGTAAAGTTTACAACTAGCATTGTAGCCCGGTGATACCTGGGTTAAAAGTGGTACAATCCTTTTAATGTAAGCCCACCGCTCGTGGCAATAAAATAAAGCCTGATTAAAAATTCGTGAACCAAAAAATGTCGTCAATAAATCATCTGGGTTCAAAGTTCAAGATGGGCTCAAAGCAAATATGCGTAAAGATAATCTCTAAAATTCATTATTTTTGTAACGTACAGCCAATAGGGTTGAGTGATTTTAGCCTAATTTCCTCTTTGGGACCTTGCTAAATTTGTTTGCGATCCATCAAGTTGTTTAAATTTCTATAATGAATATATTTCAATAAAAAACATAAATACATAGAAACATAAATACACGCGGCACTTTACATAGGAGATAACAACATTAATTATTATGAAAATCTATATATATAATTTGCGAGCAAAGGTCAAACACCACCACCACCACGCATGCGATATATAGATACGCCAGAGTGTGGTTCAAGAATGACTTCACTAGCGCGCAAAATATAATTCCCGATAACTACGCTAAATGATCTATACATATTTTTTAAAATGCAATTGCGTTTGGTGCGTAATATTTTCTTTTCGGAAATGAAATCGTCTCAATTTAAGTATTAGGTTAAAAATAGTCGGTTAAAAAGTGGTTGGGACATGAGAATATTAATATAGTTCATGGGCGTGAAATAAAAAGTGTGCAGTGACGTATCATGAAAATGGGGAAAAGGGGAAAAGGGGGGGGGGAGGGGTGTAGCAAAATTGGGATTCTTAAATGCGCGTAACTTGAGTTCACGTTTTTGTCAAGTAACTTTAGTAGATGGGACGTTCACGCACTGCTACTGCCAATGTTTGGTGGGCTATAACTAGTAATATTTAAATGACAATAATGATAGATTAGCAACAGTTTACAGTTGTCATAAAACCATAAAAACGGCATTACAAATCCTATATATATATATATATATATATATATCAAGACAATTTTTTTTAGGAAATACTTGAAAATTTACCCCCCCCCCCCCACAAATCTCGTATAAGAAACTTATAAATTAAAAATTTTTTATATTTTTTTTTAAAAATACTTTAAAAATTTCCCCCCCCCCCCCCCACAAATGTCGTATAAGAAACTTGTAAATTAAAAATTGATTATATTTTTTTTTCTGTACTTTAGCAAAGAAATTATTTTTGTTTAAAGCTTCTTAATTTCTAGAGAATAATGATTTTGCTTTGGGGTTATTTAAAATAAATCATTGATGAAAATATTTAACTTTTTTTATGGTCAGTGCAATATTATTGCTTGTGGCTAGTCATAATGCACGAATGTAATCTTGTCCACCTGCTCTCACAGTGACAGTCTCAATACCTGACAGAATAGCAAGTATTGAACACCAGACAGGAATATATGGCATAACATTAGAGAGAATTTCCAGAAGGTGAATTCTTGTTGAAATATTTGAAATTTTTTTAAGAACTATACACATATAAATTTATTTATTTATTTTTATATTTATGAAAGAAATATTTAGTCTACCTTTTAAATGAGCTATAACGTTTCTGAAAATATCAATCAATTCAAAATTTACGTATCTAGAAGGTAATATGTGAGAGTATATAAGAATTGTCATGATAGAATTTATTAGTTTCTACAGAATAATTGGTAAAATGCTTCCGAGTCCCAGTTAGAAAAAAATATAAATTCTTATACTAAATTCAAACATAATAAACTGGAAACCATGGGCAATTTTGACTTTAAAAAAAAATTATTTAATCAATATTTTTTTCAAATTTGTTGCAAGTCACAAAGACTAAAAATGAGGATGGCAACTTCATCAACTAGAAAATATCAGAGCTTTGTACTCGTTAGCCAATTAACAACGTTTTGCTGTTCGTTTTTTTTTTTTTAATCGCTTGTCAAATAAGCGGTAGCTTTCGGCTGGACCAAAATAAATGTGAACTATTTTCTTAGTGTGTGTGTTTTTTTAACAGGTTAGATGAGGGTGCTACGAAGGAGGATCTGAAACTTATTCAGCTGGAGATCAGTAATTTGGTGGGTACGGAAACACGTGGAGTAGTCGTAAATTTTAAAACGTACATGAGCGTAGGGTGTGCAAAGTAAGGAACAAAAGGTGTGTCGGTCATGTGGGGCCGTCCTGTGCTAGAAATGAGTGTACTTAAAACATTTTGAAATTCTTCTTTAGCGACAATTCAACGTCTTGCGTTTATGTTCAAGACGAAAAAAAATGATATCTTTATTTTTTTTCTTTTTAATGGAGTCGGTGGATTCCAGGATTTGCCCAGGGCGTAATTTTACCTCACACGATACAAACTGAAATGAAAATGACAAAACAATTAGGGGTTGTCATTAAATGGCGGAAATCTATTAATAGAACATCCGGGCACACGGTCCGGCCAATCTCATCAAGATATTAATAAAACATCCTGGTCTTCCGTTTGGCCAGTTTCTCAACAGCTGTTCGTAACCTCTACGTTAATGTGGGCCAGCGTAGTGTTTCTTAATGTAGACGAAAACATCACCTTTATTTTACAAGAAATTTTGTAAAAAACAAATTGCTACTGATATGTATTTATGCGGAAATGCATTGCTAGAAGTGATGTTTTACGAACGCATTGCCTAAAAATAGTAACATTACGTAATGCGAGATGACGTTTTCCGGTCTTAGGAATGACAAAACCTATTAATAGCATATATATATATATATATATATATTATATATATATATATATATATATATATATATATATATTGACTGGGCGATGTGGTTGGATGATCGTTAACACGAAGATGGTTTCTATTAATAGAATTATGTATCCCTAGTCTCACACAGGGAATGTTTTAAAGCTACTGATGGATTCCCGGGTCACCTATAAATGTTTCAAGTTAAAGATAGGCAATGTAACCATGAAATATTTATCGTCATTTTATGTTACAGTTACAATGCAGGCATTTTTTTTCCTTCATAAAAACCATGTTATTTTGCACAGTGCCGCTGCCAACTAGATCTCTGAATATATTTTGGTCTCTTTAAATTAATGGAGAGCTTTTGCTTGATTTTTTAATTATTATTTTTTTTTTTTGCTTATGCTGCTCAACATTTCGTTTTCATTCACTATCTGTTTTGATGGGCTATTCCAAAAGTTAAAGATTTTTTTTTCCACGCAGGAGGCTGCATTTAGAAAGGAATTAGAGATGGAGAAACTTAAATCTCAACTCAAGGCCAAGGAAGACGAACTGGCCAGGCTCTCGGCAGAAATGTCCGACCAAGTCCAACAGCTCCTGGCCGAGATAGCCAGTTTGAAGCAGCAGGCCGTGAACGGGGAGAGAGAACTCCAGCAGTTCATGCGTGAAAAAGGTGAGCAGGCCGTCCACGTGGATTCAGGCAAATGAAATATTTATCTTAAAGTAAGAATGTACATTTTAAAAAATCCACTACTGCGTAGTAAACGGTAATTAGCCAATATGGTTTGTCATTTAATGGCGGAAATCTATTAATAGAACTGTTGCAATCATCCGGGTAACTAGGTTGGACAAAATGTCAACATTGCCCAACATCTTTGCGAAGTGGCCCTTAACCTAAATCAAAACGTGTTTACAACTATATTTTACGAAATATTTTACACCAAATTTTTTTTTACTGCTACTGCTGTATTCAAGGATCTGAATTTTGTGAGATCGGACATCGGTGGCCGAGCGGTCTGAACTGAATCCAAAAGTTTGTGGTCTGGAGCTCAATACCCACCAAAGCCAACACCACAAGCATCCCGGGTGGATGATGGGACTCGCTAGCTTAAAGAGAAGGCAAACCAGGAGCCAGAATGATAAATAAATTGATCGTGGGCACCTAAAATTATAGGGGGTGGGGGGGGAGAGGGGGAGGGGGCCTCATTACGCGCATGACACATGTAAGAGTGACTCTAGATACAAGGATCGTCCGCTCATGCAGGATGTTAGAGTTTATTCGTTTCCTAAAACTCACAAAGATGTAGAAAAAAAAAGTAAAAGTTTGTTTAGGATTCACATAGAAAGAGCGATTGAGGGAAATGAAGAGTTATAAAAAATACTTGTTGTTTGTCCGACATTCTAAAAATAGTAACATTACGTAGTGCGCTATGACGTTTTCCGGTCTTAGAAATGACAAACCCTATTGACGTCATAAGCTTCATATGCAGTCCAAACCACTAGTCGAGTCTGGGAGTTCATTAATAATCGTTGCGAACTGAATATTATGTTGGATTACGCGCTGTGTGTTGTTTTTTTTTTAGAGATTAATTGACTAGTGAACGCTCTTCCCGCGTTGGATTTTGTGACGTATTTGTATGCTTATTATGACATATTGTCTAGTCCGTTATGTGACCTACGATCAATTTATCTGGCAGTCGTGAAAGGAAGTCTGTGGCTGTAGGATATGTTTTATTTCTCTCAGTTAGCGAACTGCGCTACTCATGTTTATATGGAAATAACAGTCTGTGAATTTACATTATAAATTAAAGTTGCATTTATTAGGCAAAACAAAAAAGGGACTTCAGGTGATTCAGTACGACGTGTTACAACGTGTGAAAGAACTTGATGAATTAACCAATCTCGTGTAAGCAGGACTTTGACAACACCACTGTGTAATGAATGAAAATAGCATGAATACTGTCAGTGAAATTTAAAAAAATAAAAAATTATGTTGGATTAACCAAACGTTTATAGTTAAAACTACCTATAGCCCACCAAAAAAAAAAAAATATGTCGACCGCATCGCGTGAACTTCCCATCTACTAAAGTTACTTGACGAAACACGCATTCGATTAACGCACTTAGTAGTATTCCCGATTAGTGCTACCCTCGCCTTGTACGCAACCACCCCCTGCACTAAATTAATATTCAAAGGTCCCCCCCCCCCCCCCCTCCCCCCAGATTTATTTCATCAATTATTTTCCGTCAAACAAAAAAATATATATATATTACGCACCAAACACACCTGAGGTATTTTTTAAGAATCTCGCTGAGCGAGAATTTTATTTTGCGCACTCTGGTAGCGTTAGGAAGACATTGGTGCGTAGAGAATTGGGTATTTCGAAGAGTCAGGATTAATAATGTTTTAATACTGACGTATACCTGCGATAGGAGGACGTCATTTTATAAGATTAAACATAAACAACATTCGGGCAATCGGAAAAAAAATCTTGAGATTATTAATTTTACCGAGTGAGCAGTGAATGCAATGGCATAAGTGGTTCATCCGTGTTATGATTGGTTGGGCTTAAACACGGATGGCTCGAGTGCCACCAACCAGTGGCATTGTTCCACTCTCTTCAAAGCTCCTAAACCGCGTCCGGAAAATTATGAAAACTCATGGAAAATAGTTACGGTTTCTCTTTAAATTCCATAACTTATTTTAATTGTTAAATAATGTTTCATTGTGTATTAAACTCCAGTTTGTTTTCGAAGCATTCACATTTAACTTTGACACGCGCTCCAAGAAGCGCTCTCCAGTGACCAATCATTATCAAAAGGGTTCCCGATTCTTTTTTTTTTTCCGGACACAATTTACATTCAAAAACTCCCAAAATTAAAGCCTCAGAATTCTGTTGTTACGACAATCAAACTGGTATATTGGGTGCCACTACTGGGTGGGGGGGGGGGGGGGTGTTCTCCATTGAATCCTTGTGAAAAACACAATTAATTTACATCTTGCAAATAATTTGCAAGATGTAAATTTTAAACTTTAAACAATTTCAGCTCAACTAGAGACCAAGGTGCAAGATTTAATTACAAAAGAGGCGTCGAATAACATCAGAATTGAAACAGTTGAAAAAAATTTTGAAGCCTTTTCTTCCGAGATAAAAAAAATGGTAAGGGGAGTCGTGTCTTTCAATTCTTTTCAGTTTATTTCAGTGATTCTATGATCAGCATTTTTATTTTATTTATTTTTACAAATTTATTCTATTATTTGTGGTTATAATTTCTTTTATAAAAATACAAGATTTCTATAATCAGAGACTACGTGCGGCTAGAATTCACCCCCAGTGTGCTATTACTCCGGCCAGCTTCCATACTTTGTCATTAATTTTTAAAACAGTTTTAACGGTCAACAGCTTTTTCATAACACCGTAACTCTTGGCCTTCGCTAGCAGTTCATCAGGGTTTGTGAAAGATATTTCAACATTGTCTCTGAATATTGGATAAGTTTTTTTTAAAAGTAATTTAGTTGGGGTGGGAATGTGGGGGGGGGGGTTGGTTCAATGGTTCTTGCCAAACTTCTGAAGTGCTAGACAACCATTCAATAAACTCATATGTTACTCAATTTTTTGCTGTCAGGTCAAAGCCTCCATTCAACCAAAACATAAGAGGTCTTCAGGCTGTCGTTGTGAGGCCTGCAATCGGCCACCTGAGCCCGCTGTCATTGGCTCAGGGAAAAGCCATTATCAATGGAAATATTGAACTCCCCCACCAGTGATCATCTAATTTTTGTTGTTGATTTTTTATTATATTTTTTCTGCTTTTTTTAATTAAGTAATTAAAATCTTTATTTGCAAAGAAATAAAACATCTGGTTTAAAAGCGACAAGCATTTGTTTTGTTTATAATTATGATAGGTTTGGGGGAGGGGGGGCTGCGTTCAAGCCGTGTGAGGTAAATAAAATTCAGAATAAGATATGCTTAGCTTTTTTAAAAAAATTCAGAAAAATTAAAACAACGTTCTGGCGAAATGCCTTCTCCAGGAGACAATACAAAACAAGAAAAACAATATGATTTGAAAATATTGCTCTTCAACGTGGGGTTTAATTGCAACTTTGACAATGTTCGCTCAAGTCAAGTTCAAAATATGAACAGGGTGCCACCAAGCATAGCAGTATATCCACTGCAGGCTGTCAACGTAGCAGGCTGCCACCAGAACAGAGAGCCACCAGACAGAGTAGCCTTTTCCGAGCCAGCTGTCGCCGTAGCAGGCTTCCACCAGAACAGAACTTTTACACACTCGTATTTTGTAAGTCAATAAACGTTTAGTTTTTATCGACCAGAAGTTGGCGATGAAGAAAACACTAAAAAGTCAAGATATCATGAACTTTATATTTTTTTTTTTTATTAATAAGCAAAATCCCTGGTAACACTGTCCTTGGTTGCAGTTATCCGTAATGTATAATTATTACAATGTATTCATATTCGCACCACTCTCCATTCTTTAAAATGACTAAAACACATTCATGAAATATAGATATAAACTGAAATAACACGTTATATTCGACCTGTCGGCATGATGAAGAACAACTCTGGCAAGGACTCTGGCAATTTAAACATAAATTATTTCCTTTTTTTTTTTATTTTGAAATACTTACATTGTCAACATTAAATAATATTTATATCACCAGATTAAATAAACGAATTAATTAATTTCTCATTTCTGACTGAAGTGAATGTGTATCAAAATATGTAGCACCCTAAACTGAATCAATCCTCAGCTATAAATATAGTAGTCTTCAGTTCAATCCCCAGCTAAAGGAAAAAATCATCACCAGCACCCAGGGGTGGGGGGGGGTAGGACTTGTTAACCTTGGATGGCAACTCATCTAAGACAAAGCGAACTCTGAAATCTAACCCTGGAGATGGAGTCCCGTGGGCGGTATGACATTGTCACAGTGAAACTTCCGACAACTCCTGCGACGTGGAACAAGAAACACTCCTGGTCACCTACTGCATTCTTGTCTATCTCCAGCCGTCTTGACTAAGTCTTGACTGTGGATCAAATGGGCAAGGACGAGAGAGTGAGGCTTCCGAGCTGAGCAACTCTACCTTACTTTAAACAAAATACAGTTCATGTCAAGGCTACTACTCGAGTCGAATATTGCCCTGGCCATCTCCCAATGCGAAGGACGAACAATAAACAAATGTTGCATTGATTAATATTTAAAAAATGACTAAATTGAAAAACAGGAATATGAATATCTTAAATCCACATGGTAAAGGCATTTTTCCCTTGTCCATTGCTATTAACATAGAATGAAATCCCGTCAATAGGTTCTGTGTGACACCATTTTGGCTGTCAGTTCATTGACACACTGCGTTCATGGGACGTGTCCAGAGCACACAATTTGGCTGAGTCGGGTTAAAGTTTGAATGGCATAGTTTAGGAGAAAAAAAATGTACAAAATTTAATTCTTTAGCTCTTTTACAAGAGTGGCACAACCAAAACTCATGAGGGGACGACTGCGAGTGTTGTTATAAACTGAACTGTAGCGTGTAGCCAAATGTGTCCACTTACAAAGAAAACAAAAGAAACGGGGAAATTACTACACTCATTTCCTGAACAGTCTTGAGAGTTCCCTCCTCGTGTGACATCGCCTGCCTAATCACGTGGTTTGACGACAACTTCGTAAGGTTTTGGCACGAGCGTAAACCAAGTATCCTGCGGGACCATGTCCACGTCTTCGCCGACAGGACTTAAAGAAAACTGAAGTTTCTGCAGCAAGCAGACCACGGTGTACAGCAGGTTCTGTCTGCCCAGGTTCTCGCCTGCGGAAATAAATACAGTGTCTGAGTCAAGAAATGTTAGTTGACATAAAGTAACACTTAGAACCATTACTACTATGTCAGCTATAAGATAGAATATTGCTCGATTCAGAAAACTAAATCCTGGCTTGGCTATCTCCTATATAAATTTCGTTCCGTCAAGGTGGTCCACAAACACAGGTCGACGGACGTAGGATTGACTTCACATACCCACGCAGTTTCGAGGTCCGATGTTGAAAGGGATCCAACTCTTGGGGCGCGCGATGAGGGCTCCGCTGTCCTTGTCAATGAAGCGTTCAGGGATGAAGCTATCGGGGTGCTCCCAGTGTCGCGGGTCGCGATGGATGGCGTACACGTTCGTGACGACCACCGTCTTTGCTGGCACGTCGAACCCACAAACCTGGTTTGGAGATGAACATTATGGATTGGTGCGACCTTTTTTTTTCAAAACAAAAATGAATTTCAACGGGTTTGTATTTTACACACAGCATGGGGGTGCTGCTTTATACAAAACATGGGTGTGTTGCTTTGTACAAAACATAGGGGGTATTGCTTTATACAAAACATGGGGTGCTGTTTTATAAAAAAAAAGCATGGGGTGGGGTGTTGCTTTATACATAATATGGAGGTGTTGCTTTATACATAACATGAGACTTGAAACAATAATGTGCAATCTGATGATGTAGAAAATGTTTTAGACTGACCACTGTTTCTTCAATATCTTTAACAGTTTGGGAAGTTCTTTGTTTTTATCGGTCTCATTGTTTGTGAAGGTTATTATAAAATAAGCTTCAAAACTGCAATCTATCAATGTCAAACAAAACTTACATGTGTGTCGCACAATGTCAAATAACACTAACCTACGCGTCGCAGAGCACTATCTATGGAAAATCACATTAACATGCTTTGCAAGGCGATTTCTCTAGAGCTGCGCAGGATTAGTCATATTAGACCTTTCTTAACGTTTGATGCATCAAAGAGGCTGATGTCTGCATTTGTGCTATCACGCATGGACTACTGCAATGCTCTTATGGTGGGTCTTCCCTCTGCGCTGCTGGATAAAATTCAAATAGCACAAAATAATGCGTCTCGCATTGTTCTTCGCAAACGCAAGTTCGATCATGCTAAAACACTTCTGAGAGAGCTGCACTGGCTGCCGGTCCGCGCTCGCATAGAGTACAAAATTTCAACTCTGCTACCGCTGCCTGCATGATATGGCACCGTCCTATCTCACTCTCAGAAATAGCCAGACACTGGAGTCCTTCAAAACCAATTTGAAAACACATCTATTTCGCAAACACCTGCTGTAGTGATGTTTTATTACCATCTTTTCCAGCTAGCTATTATCTCCTAGATGTATATTGCCCTGTGTTGTTTATGGTTGCAAGGGATGAAAAACTTTGAATGGTTAAGCTCGGATGTAGTTTTTGCAATGTTGCGTTTTGTATTTCAATGTGGTATAATATAGATTGTTTAATTTCTCTTTTACTATGGTTGACTTTGTACTGCACTTCCAGCCTTTAGGGATGAAGCGTGATTTTCAAATAAACGTTATTATTATTATTATTATTTATTAATGTCAAACAACACGAACCTGCATGTCGCACAATGTCAAACAACGCTAACATGCGTGTCCCACACTTTAAGACAACAATGAACCTGTGTGTTGCACAATGCCATTTAACTCAACTAACCTGTGTGTCGCAAAGTGTCTCGTGAGGCAGCCCCATCGGTACCACGGGGTAGAGCCTCATGACCTCTTGTATCACTGCCTCGGTGTAGGCCAGACCTTGTCTGTGTTCTTTACCTGGGACTCCATTTCCTGGTCCCCAAAAGAAAGGCAAACGTACAAAATAATTTTTAGAATAATGAATAAAAAATTCGCAATTTAAATAAATGCCAATAGTTTGCACAAAAATGCCAAGAATATCCCTTCAGTAAAAGCAGTGACTTCATTTGGGTAGGGTAGGGTGGGGTATTCGCCCCCCCCCCCTTTCTTCTCCTTGAATTTGCATGTGTTTTTTTTTTATTGCTATTTACTGTGGCGCTTCAAGTAATAAAAAAACTTAACAAGCTGATCAAGTTTTGGTTTCCAACCCCCCCCCCACCCTGAAAAAAACGGATATGACGCCCTTGAGTAAAAGGGGCAATTGGTGGATTATATGTAACGTAGTGAATTCCTCCATCCAACTCTTGAAAATTAGCTGCATGTTTCCTAATGAATTGTCAGCTCATTATCCGCAATAGATAATTCCAGAAAGAATCTCTTTTTAGAATCTCTATAATAATAAGATTTAATCATTTCCCCATTCTCGTTTGCTTAAACTTGATAAAAATAAATTATGGTGTCCTTACCAACAATTATATTTTATTTATTTTTTCCTTGTTGTAGATGGTGTACAAGGTGGAATATTACAAACAATTTGTTAAAAATACAATCATTTTATTATGACTGAGACAAAAATCAGCACCATGTCCCCTATTCAAGACTCCCAATTGGACCCCTCCACCAAACACTCCCATGCCCCCCCCCCACACACTTTTTTTTCCACATCAACGGTCCCCATGAAGTTTACCAACGACCCGGTGAATCTCGTCATGGACCCTCCGCTGAACTTTGGCGTCGGCCACCAGGGTCAGAAATATCCAGTCCATCGTGTTCCTGGTCGTGTCCGTGCCGCCGATGAACGTGTCCGAGATGATGAGGGAGAAGTGGACGTCAGTGATGTCGGGGCGTCCGCCGGCGTCTTCGTCTCTCAGCTGTCTCTCCGTCAGGAGGATGTTGTCCACCAGCGTCTCCATCTTGCTCTCGTCGAAGGTGGACCTCCGTTCAGAAATGTGCCGGTGGATGTAAGCTGGTTGGGGGAAATCAGACAAAATTCAATATTCTGAAGCCGGGGATATCAAAAAATTGAAATTATTGTTCATGAATGCAGTACCAAAGAATGCTGTACAACTGAATGCTGTACCACTGAATGTTTTACCACTGAAAGTTGTACCACTGAATGTTGCAACACTGACTGTTGTACAACTGAATTTTGTACCACTGAATGTTGTACAACTGAATGCTGTACCACTTAATGTTGTACCACTGAAATAATCTTCAAAACTTTCCGGCGCCATTCAGTTTACATGTTTAGTAATATGGAATGGATCTTTGATAACAAAGTCGCTAATTGGTCGCAAAGTGGTCACTAAGGGGTCACTATGTGGTCACTAAGTGGTTGCTAAGGGGTCACTGTAACGGACTATGTTTTCACATGAAAACAGAGAGGTAGCATGAGTGAACAGTGAATTGTGTTGACCATGTATTTTAAGATGCAAATGTGAACTCCACGTTTTTGGAGAGTAAAGTTATGTTTTTGTCAGAGCGGTTGTTTTCCACGCTTTGCTGGTAATAAAGTATGAGTTGACTGAGATAGTGAGAGCTGAGCGCAGAGCAGTAGAGTCAGTAGCGTGAGAGCTGTGTGATTAGACAGTTGACAGTTTAGTGTGAGGACGTGTCTTTCTTAATGATGGAATACTATAGATATATATGTGAAATTACATTCATGCAAGGATTAATAATATTATCAATATAAAGTGTGTTCAATAAAGTACTGTAAGTTTAACCAGGATTCAGTATTCTTATTTGCGTGCCCGGATTATAAGTGGAAGAATGAAGAAGCCTTAGTCGGCATCCTGAAATATCAATATAACATAAGTAACCATACTACTGACATAACCCACAGCATAAGAAATAAGCTCCCACGCCATGTCAGAGTAGATGCGTGTTACAGTCACTAAGTGATCGCTTATTAGTCGCCAAGTAAACGTTAAATGGTCGCTCAGTGGTCGCTAAGTGGACGCTCGGTGGACGCTGAGTCAGGAAAAAGTACTAACCAACGAAGGCCTCGAGTCCTCGCTTGGCCTTGCGGAACGCCGGCGTGGGACAGTGGGTGAGGATGGGGAAAATGTCCTCCCAGTATCCCGTGACCTTCCCGGACTCGGAGTCGAAGACTTTGAGATAATCCTGGTAGATGGGGTCGTCCATGGCCACGGTGCTGCCGAAACACGCGGCGTGCAGGATGTTGAAGATGATCAGGGAGAAGTGGGCGTGGGGGTTGAAGGGCCCCGGCTCCTGCAGCATCGCCTGCACGGCCTCCGCGACGATCTGGTGGACTCGTCTCGTGTGCTGGTCGCCCGTCAGGTAGTGACGCATCGCCTTAGGAGGAGGACCGGGGGTTTGTATTTTAAACATGTTATAAAAAGTATTTGACAGCGATATTTTAAACATGACATGTCATTTAAATAACATGATTATTTCGTGTGGCCTTTAAAAAAAAACAATTGTGGCCCTTGTGGTTACAGTTTGCAAACCGCTTAAAGCTAAATGTTTGTTTAGAGATTGAACCACAAACATTTCATGCTGAAGAGGGACATGCCTGAATGCGCATTGAAGCAGGATTATGTAGATTTAAAAGATGATGATGATGATGATGATGATGATGATGACGGTGATAACAAAGACGGATACATTTTTTTTAGAGCCAAGTGCTATTTTTCGGGAAATCTAATAGACGGAAGGATGCCGATTATAATAGATTTTAATACTTCAAACAGAGACCTTTTCACATTCGTGGGTCCTGCCACTGGTGAAAGTAGATGCTGGCCCAGTGGTCTATTTAAATGTTATCGCCCAGTTAAAAAACATACTCCTCGCAGACACTGAGGTGACCTATCGATAGGTCCGCAACGTAATTCGTATTCATTTCATTTTTTATTTCAGCTCATAAAACTAGCGTAACGGTAACAGTGACAAGAAATGAAACTCATCCTAGGCGCACGGCTCAATCGCTGATCTAAATCGTTGACAAATTTAAAAATCTAACTCTGAAAATTATTTCTTAACAAATGTTAAGTTTTCTGAGGCAAGGAAAATAATATATCGACTGAGTTGAGCTTTTCCTGAACGCCGTCCTGAAGTGGAGACAACGTTCGTGTCCTGGTCAAAACGACTTTTTAAACATGTGGTTTGCTATGTTTAAATGATATTTTTAAACATGTGGTTTGCTATGTTTAAATGATATTTTTAAACATGTGGTTTGCTATGTTTAAATGATATTTTTAAACATGTGGTTTGCTATATTTTTAAAAGATTTTTTTAAACATGTGATTTGCTATGTTTAAATGATATTTTTAAACATGTGGTTGCTAGGTTCAAATGTTTTTAAAGCATGTGGTATCCTAGGTTTAAAAGAATTTTAATCATATATATTTTCGTTATGTTTAAGTGAATTTTAGAGACCTAATTGTATTCTTTAAGTATTCCTTTAAACATTTTAAAATTTGAATGTCGGAAAAAAAATATTTTTAATCCTTTATATCAACTTTGCTTTTGTTCGTGTAGTTTTGCGTTCATCGCAAAATCTTCGGAAAGCTAATTGTCCCACGCCCCGTGTTCCTATCGAGCTGAAACTTGGCCCATAGACAACACATTCTATCAAATTTTCAGCCCCAACCCCAACGCCCCCCCCCCCAAATCAGGTTTTTTTCTGGTTTTCAAGAGAAAAATTAATGAACTATGATCTATTCTATATGTGCGTGTTTTTATGTAGGGATTAATTGTGTGGCTGTTGCTATGAGCTTTGTATTTTTATGCTTTTGGGTATGAAGTAAAAATTTAATTTATTTTTGAAAGGGAAAAAAATGAAAGAAATATGAAATATGTTTTCGCCAGAAGTTTTATCCATTTACATAACCGCTTCTTAATACATAATAAATCACCTACAATTAAATGAATGCAAAAAAAAACTGCTTTTAATGGATTTATACGCAGAACTTTGATTTTAGGTGTTGTTTAATTTCATCCACAAAAACATGTCTTGCGAGGTTGGGTTCTATTTAACTGTGATGGCAATGATTGGACGGAGCTCTATCTATGTTAGCAACTGTTGAACGATTTTGCCTACCTGAAAACATATCTTCCTCCTGTACTTAAGGTCCGGACCGTAAGGGGCGAATGCGATGTCTCGACCCCCCATGCTCATCAGGTCTAAGGAAGGGATCATGGGCTTGTTGGCGAAGTCGTTCCCCCGCTGGACGTACGCCTCTGTAAGGCTCTCGATGCTGCCGAGTATGACCCATGGGCGGAGCCCCGAGTAAAACATCACGACGGGCCCGTACTGTTCTTGCCACTCCAAAGACTTTTTGGTCAGCGTTGTGTCTGAAGAGGTTCGGTGTTGGGGATGAGTCACAATGTAAGGTGTAAGCCGGGTGGTCGGAAACTTTTTTTGGTTATTAGCGTGCCACAGTTAGACTTCTGATTATTTCATCGTGTCAATAACTTATAAGTCTACCATTAAGACCCATTTTTAGCCATTTATACAAAGGTTGGGTTGTTTTTGTTTTTTTGTTTGTTTTTTTTTGTCTTTTGCGTGCCAAGATAAGACGCTATACGTGTCAAGAGCGGCATGCGTGCCATAGGTTGCCAAATACTGATGTCAACTAAATTAAATATGTTGGAATTGTTATTTTTCTATCTTAGAGATTATGGAATTAGAGAATTTTACCATTGACTTCTCTCTAAATGAAAATTTGTTCTTGTAGTTTTTCGTATATTAAAGATTTGTTTATAATATTTATTTATTTATTTATTTATCTATTTATTTATTTGCATAAATGTATTTATTCATTATTTATTTATTTATTTTTATTATTTTTTTTTTTTTAAGCAAATCAAAAGGTACCAAAGATGTAGTCAACACAGATCTGATTCTAGATATCCAGAAAATGAATATCAGAGACGTCCATAACGGGTTGGCTAAATTTAAGTTCTCCGTTCTGTAAATTGAACTGATAAGAGATCCACGACAAGAACTGCAAATATTATTTCCAAAGATTTTCCCCCCACCGTTGAATATATTGTAACAACTATTCCAAAGCATCTGGCTTCATAAAGGGTAGAATGATGTGAACAGTAAAATATGGTGTTTGTTGTTGTTTTTACTGATCCATAGCAGTAATTACTAAATACATCAAGTTCATTGACATAGTGGCCTTTTTTTCATTCAAAATGGTAAAAGAAATGGAAATAAGGATTTAATGGAAAAAATGAAAGAATTGACATATTCTGGAAATGTCGGGGGCAGGATCTCTTGCTCTTTGATGTTGGCAAGTTTGTCTTTGACAAGTTTGCTTTTGACAAGTTTGTTTTTGACAAGTTTGTTTTTGTTTTTTGTGTGTTTCTTTCTTTTTCTTTAAAAAAAAAGAGAGGCGGTTAGTTAGTTAATTTCCGCTCTCATTTATATCGCCTATCGTATTGTAAACGAACCTTTGAAATCCAACATGTTGCCTAGCAACGGCCAAGTTCTGGGAGAGGGAGGCAACCGGAGCTTCTTCCTGGTCAACAGCCGGTAAACAACAGCACCTAAGACGGCGGTGATCACTAGCAGGACGGCCGTGTCAGCCCGGGGGATGATGTCACTGAACATCGTGACGTCGGGTGGGGGGTGGGCTTGGGGGGGGTGGTGTTTCTTCAGATAGGAACTCTAACTTCAGAAAGTAGCTAGAAAAAAAATCTGGTAATAATTAATAAATTAATTTTATGAGTTTCTATGATGTTAGAATTTTTTATTATAATAAAACAGTTAATTCTTACTTAAATAATAGTAAAATATTTTTTTTGCTCTTCAAGCGCCGTTTCAGGGGCTGTAACCAGGGCCGTGCGGAGGCGCAGGCAACCCGAGTGAATCACTAGGGGCCCTTGTCTCCAGAGTGAATGATGACTTAACCGCTGTGCAGTGGCGTAGTTAGGGTTAATGATACCCACTACCCCAAAAAAAAAAAAACTCTACAGTTGGCCGAAAATCCCCCCTCTACAACCCCCTTGCTTCTTGAGCCACAGCTGTTGTGTATTTATTACACTTACAGTGATATCGTGTGACCTAGTTCGCTATCAACATCGCGGCTCAAAATACACCAGTTGCAGAATGTCAGTTGATTTTTGTAAACCTTTTTTTTCTTCATCTAAATAAGAAAACCATCAAATGTGACAGACAAGCTCATTAAAATGATTGATTTTAAATCTTGAAGTATAAGTAATCATGATGATATGACTATTTCCACTATCCAAATGCACACTCGTGTAGGCTTCAGGCGTCATTATTCTGATGCTGAACCAGTTATCGGACTATATAGAGCTCAGTGTTACGAACCACTGACTGCTATAAGAAGTTCAATATCTTCGTTGTCCAGGGGTTAATTACTAAACAGATCCACGATCAATATTGCATAAGCTTCTTTACTGAAAAAGAAAAACCAGCGTGTGTTCTTTCATCCGCTTTATCTCTGCAACTTACTAAAATAGTCATCTCAAATACCGAAATACGTCACAAATGCAAATCACATGGCAAAAGCAACACAGCTGCTCTCCACACCGAAACACGCACCACGCAAAACACGAGCACGTCACCACAAGTCGACTGTGGAGAAAATGCATGTGAACAAATCGTTTTACTCACGGTCAAACTAAAGCACTCTGAAACCGATTCGTGTTGTCCGTGGCAATGATGCTCATCCGGAGGATATCAGGCCCACAAATGCCACAGTGTTATGCCGCCCGTCAGAAGTGTAACGAGAAAGTTCATAACGATTGTTCTCTCGCAGTCTGTCGAGTAAACAACTGAACTTTTATTCCTTTCCCGTTTACTGTAACATAAGATATGGACCAAAGTATGTTTGCTTTTTTTTGCCCAGTGAGTTCAACACGCCAATGATTTATGTGTGGAACTGTGGGTAACATGTAGGTGGACCTAGTTTGTGTGGCGGGTTGGATGTGTAAGCGTATTGTCAGTTTCATTCTGAAAACGGCTTTTTGCTCTCCGTTCGTCCTTGGAGTGGACGGGATGTGTTAAGAATGCAACGGAAATTGTAGAGGCGTAGCTAAGTGGGGGGGAGGGGCTGGGGGGACAGATGTCCCTGGGCGCCAGACTAGTTACGGGCGCCAAAATGTGCTTTGATTTTATTTTATTAATGAAAATAATGGGTTTGAGAGTTGAAAAAAAAGAAAGGGAGGCGCTTTAAAATGAATCTTGTCCCCCGGGCGCCAAACACTCTAGCTACGCCACTGTGAAATTGTTTTATTTCATTTATTATTATTTTTTTAGTTTGATCAAAGTATTTAAGCATTGCGGAATCCCTTGGGCAGTGGACATTTTATCCCCACTCTCCAATCATTCATTTCTATGACGTTATGTTCCAGTAAACTTTAAGTGACATCAAAATGAATCATTTATATTGTATTAAGGGTACCCTACCCTTAGAGGTACTGCAATACTGGGGTAGTCCCTCTTCAAGGTATGCCCTTGCGGGTCTCTTGGCCTTGCGGGTCTCTTGGCCTTGCGGGTCTCTTGACCTTGCGGGTCTCTTGGCCTTGCGACTCCCTAAGGTGTTCTACCGATCGCCCCAGACCGTGGCCAGAGACAGGGAGAGATATCCCGTTCCTCCCACGGGTTTTTGGTAACCCGACGGGATAAGAACAGACAGTTCACCTCGATCATAGTCAAAAGGCCGAGAAGCCATCGGATTTTTTTTTCCTGGGCATATTCAGCCAACCTCCCAACACAGATTTCATGGCAAAAGTTATGTTTCTTGATTCGAGTTTTTTTTCCACAGCTAAGATCGTTATGAACAGACCTAATGAGCTACCATAGTAGATGACACGTTGGTGTCAAATCTGCTGTCGTGTAACTAATGATGTGAGTGTTGGACTACAAAAAAATGCTTTCAAGTAGATTAATGTGACACAATTTGTGTAAATAAAACAATATACGTTAAGCTTTAATGATGGTTACACAGAATACAAATTACCAACGTTTCGGCAAACGCCTTCTTAAGCACAACAACCACAAAAACATTAAAGGACATTCATATAAGCATAAATTAAATTGACATAATAAATATATAAATATATATATATATATATATATATATATATATATATATATATATATTATATTTATGTTTTCTACCTGAAAAATGAAAGGATAAAAAAGAAAGGAAAAGAATAAAAATTATAATTCTTTTCTTATATATATATATATAATGTAAA